TGATTTCCTTTTATATTTCTTGTCCACTCAAAATTGAAGACTAGACTCAATTTGGCTTAAAGAGATATTTATTTTTAGAGTTTTGAGCTCATTATTATCCCAGAGAATTTTGGGATCATGCTTGTGGTCCCATTCTTATATAAGTGTATTACTTCCAGCTTTTGGCTAATAAGATTTAATAGATGTTTTGACAAAAATTAAGTTTATTATCAAAGTGAGCATTTTACCAAAGGACAATGGTAAATAATCACTTACATTATTTCTGCACCTGTTTTTCTCTAGGGGAACCATGTAACAATGTTGAACCTATCTGTTTTCCTTTCAAGAACAGCATGTTTCAGCAAACAAATGTGTTGGATGAAAAAGCAAGATATCCATCTGAATATGTAGAAGAGGCTCTCACTGGCTCAAAGGTGTATAGAGCAACAAGGAAGCAGCATAAACATTGAAATATCTTATTTTTTTAAAGCATACTCCACTGTAACAATTATGTAAATATCAATTATTTTAGTTGAGTACCTAACCTCTCTGATGTGGTACATTGAAATACATAGGTAATGGCCAAGATTTGAAAATATAACCATATTATCATCGTGTTTTTAGAAGATTGACATAAATATGACATCCCTATTATTTAAAATAAATTGGAAATATACCACAATTTTTAGAAATTTATCTTCCTTAATATTCTCCAAGAGAATTCTTTGGCTTTTTTCTTAGGCCAAAACCATACATTCAGCATTTCATACAATGGTCAGGGTTAAACTGGATGAGGCATCAAAAGTTTTCAAACACGCCCTTCAAGGCAAAGAGTTGCTGGTTCGATCCTGGTCAGGGCACATGCCTGGGTTTGCAGTTTTGGTCCCTGACAGGGGCCTGTGTGGAAGGTAATCCATTTATCTCTCACATCCATGTTTCTCTCCCTCTCTTTCTCCCTTCCCCTTTCTCTAAAAATAATTAATTAATTAATTAATTAAATCTTTTTAAAAAGTTTTCAATGTAACTCTTTTTGGGGTATTGTGTGAGAAAATGGCCTGTGAAATTCTACTCTGTGAACACAGAGGTCACCAGTAAGAGAGATAATAGTCAATAGATATTAAACAGATACATTTTAACTTAATCCATAGATTATGTTTCATTGCAATCTCTCACCCCAAGGTAAGGTCTATCACCTTACCTCAGGATAGGCGAGAGCTTGTCTTCAAGTGCTAAGCAACACAAAAAGGCTTGGAAATCAGGTAAGGCAGTTGGGATGGGATTGCACAGAAATGTGCTAACTTCTTTTTTCCCTGCTTCAGCACATCAAAGGCTAAGACTATAATAATTCTCCTTTAGTGCAAAGGAGATGTGGGCTGTGGGGAATGTTTTTAATAAACTAAGTTGACAAAGATAGGGAGAGATGCCAAAGACCTATGCCAGAGCTACAGAGAAAGATATCAGACAGAGGAGATCCTGAGGTTCCCTGATCTAGAGCTACCCTAGATCCTGTCCAGTCACTGGGCCAAAAGGCTCACCATGAGGCTCCCTGCAGTAGGGTGAGTCACTCCTTGGGAGAGGCTGGGGTAGACCACCAGGCTGTGTGGAGGTGGTAGAAGACTCTGAGAAGGCTGCAGCCCATGGGAGCTGAGGTACAGCCCTTACCACGCTGAGATCAAATCACAGGCTTTAGAAAGTTGCAGATTTCAACAAACTGCAGGCAGGAATCATCCAGGTGTTCAAATGACCTGCTCCCAGAGAGCAAAGGGCAGAGAGGGCCCCTTTCCCAAGGACCCCATTAGGATGCATAAAGCCTCTTCCCCTTTACTCTAAAGCCATTTGAGGGATGAGAGAGGAAAGAGAGGAAGAGGGCAACCAAGAGACTGTTTAAATTTATGCAAATAAAATTTTGAAAATTTCTGAAAATGGCTATTTAAATTATCAGCTCAACTGAATGTTTGAATAATTTTTTTCTTCCAGGTAGCTAGTTGAATAGGGCTTAGAATAATGTTCAGATTAGTTGAAACCAAAATAACAAAATGTTTTCTTTGTACATCAAAGTTATCAGTTCAAGTTGCCACCTTGCTATAGCTTTTTAAAATAATAAGATAAAAGTCCAGCTATCTTTATTCATTTTGAGATAATATATGGAACTATGAAGCCTATCTATTACAGGGCATCTGAAAGTATTTGAAGAACACCCCCTCCCATCCCACCCCACACACCCTCTACTTCTAGTTCTGGAATTACTCATATTGCCTGCCTGGAAAAATATTCATTTCTACTCACTTTGCAATGAAAATAGAACTGTTATAAGAAGGCTTTTAAGTCTGTTTTTAAAAATACTCCTCTAGTACCTTCTTAAAAATTCTTCCACAGATGGAAATGAACATCCTTGAGCAAAGCATAAAATGTCTTTCTTCTCTTATGTTGAAATCTAATTTTTCTATTTCTTTTACCCATTGCCCTCTGTAACACTTTTAGGCATTCAATCTCTCTTTCTCTCCCCCACCCCTTCCATTACCTTTCCCTGGGATGTAAATCAGCAATTACTTAGCTCCCGCAACAAAGTCTGAGGTCATAAATGTGGTCAGACAGCAGTTTAGTGAGAGATTGAGGTATCATCTAGTTAGTTTGGTGACAGCAGGAAACCATAGAGAATGCAATGCAGTGCACTGCTTCCGATTCATAATGACTCAAAGCTTGTTTGTTTTTTCCTCTCCCTCTCTAAACTAGCAGATGTTCCTTTAAAAAAAAATAATAATTCAAGGTATAACCTCAATCTTGGTAAAAATTTCCAAAGGTAATCTGAAATCTTTTCACTTAAAATCTAAGTGAAGCATTAAGCAACCAAGCTAATGTATGTGTGCACGTATGTTGGTGGTGGTGGTTTTTTTTCTTTTTTTTTTTTGTAATCTGTTGAAATGGTGTAATTCAAATGGCAAAGTCAGACAACTTGAAATAACATAATACATTTGTTTATTTAATTAATATTACAATGGCAACAGGTTAAGAGCACTAAATTTGTATCCTCAAGAGGTTAATGGTCGAGATTTTGATTTGTAAATTTCACTGTTCTTAAACATCAAAAATCTATTTTCCAAAGGAGTAATAATATATATTATCATCAAGGGACAGAACTAAACTTTCGGAATTAGGGCCAAAAGCAAATTTGTTCATTAGTTTAAACTAAACATTAGGGACATTTTAACTCTTGGTAACTGCTTTCAGGAAAGTACAATGATCTTAAAGCAAGAAAATGTACAGAAAAATCTTTTTCCATAGTGATTTCAACCATTGCGAACATGTCAATGACAGAACCTGAGAGCTCCCTATCAATAGTTGTAATACACTCTGACTTACTTAAGCAATCAACCAACAAACATGTATTTAATGCCTACTATGTACAAGCCAACATACTAAAGCAATACAGGAAATACAAAGAAGTAAAATTATTGGTCCTCGCCCTACTCAGACTTCCAATGTAGTTGGTAAGATTAAACACAGACACAAATCACTTTCAATGTCTTTAAAAGAATGATAATGTGAACTGGACTGCATGTTAAAAATCACCCAAGCTGAAAATTAGAGGAAGCAGGGACATAACCAGAGTCATCCTCAACACAGGTTAAAGGCTGGACTGCATCAGATTTCTCAGTTCCAAGTTTGAGGGCCACTTGAATCCCCTTATCTGAGAGTGTCCCAGCCAGCCTCACACCTGTCACTAAATTTGGGAACTGTTTCATGGACTCATGACAATGGAGCAAGATAAACAAATACATATATGCATATATATAATATGCCTATATATTATATATATTTAAATCATATATAGGATGATGTTGAAAGCAAGGAGTACAGGAGTAGCCACTCTGCATGAGAAGAGGCTAACCCACATAATCATTTATTTATTGTAAGACAAACAAGAGACTAATAAAGTATGAAAAAATCTCCAAACTTCACTGGGTACAAGCAAAAATAGAAAGACTAGAGGAAAGGATATCTAAAGAAGACCGAGCAAAGAGGAGAGATTTTGAGGGAGGCCTTGGGGAAAGAGCCTCCACCTTCACTCCCAGTGTCCTGAAGGAAAAAGCCCTGGCTAGGCAAGTAGAGAAAAGGAAAGCAAAGACGCTTTCAACCACCACAAATAAATAAATAAGTAAATAAATAAGTAAATAAATAAATAAATGTGTGAAACAAGAAAATAAGTTATTAGGCACCGCTTGAAAGGCGGCAACCCTCAAGGGCCCGACAGGACAGGCCCACTCTCCAGCCTGCAGGTGGCGGTGATACCGTGGGGATTGGCCAAGTCTCTGTAGGCGCCACCCGAGGTCCCAGCCCTGGTCCTTGGTCTTCGAGATAAGCCAGAGCAGGAAACTGAGCCTGTTGTTATGTTACTCTTAGATCTGCACCTCCAGACTCTTGGGTGACGGAGGAAACAGTGTAGTTGCAGTCATGCTCCCAGGCGGCCCCCCAGGGAAATTGCGACCCGTCTTCCTTGGCCTAATGCAGAGTTCCAGAGTGCTGGTCTTTGGAACCTAAAGTGCCGGCTCTGAGCCAGGCTGGAGGAGGTGGTTTCCATTACAGTTCCTCGTCCCTCTCCCAACCTCAAATCTAACCCCCGCGCCCCTTGGTCCTTGTTCTCCGCTCCTTTTGGCTCCAAATGGAGGGACTGAAAGAGGATTGCGCAATGCCCGGGGTTCGAAACGCGGGACCGATTTTACTAAGCACCTGGCTCCGCTCTGGGTGCAGTGAGAGTGAGTGCTGGAGGGGCTCGGCGAAGGATGCATCTACACCGGAGAGTAGGAGAAAAGGCAAGCTGCCCGGTTCATTCTCAGGTCCGCCTGCCCTTCAAGTCGGGCTGTGCAAAGAGAAAGCTGCGTTTCGATACTCCGCTAGGGGCACCAGGCAGAACCGCGCAAGCCAAGGCGCGGCAGGGCGGGGCCGAGGGCCAGCTGGGACTCATCCCTAGGGAAACCCGTGGCGGTAACCGTGGCTCGGCTTAAACAAACAAATAACGGCTGGCAGGGCTGAGGGTCAGCCTGAGTTAGCGACAGTAATGAGTCCACGATCTGTACCTGCAGGACTTGGCGGAAAGAAATATCAAAGTTACGGAGTGGGGAGCAGAGAGGGTGCAGAAGTACAAGCGCAGTGTAGGAAGGAGGGAGAGTAGGAGACAGCGGAGAAGGGAGCCCACAAGCTTTCCCCGTGTACAAGCAAAACGCCCAATTCCATTTCTGTAGCGAGCATTTCTTCTAGTCTCTCAACCCCGAAGCGCAGTGTCCTAGCCACACTTTGCCCCATCCTACTGTGATCTCTAGGATACTTTCACCTCTCGCACCCGGCCTCCTTTTCTCCTCCTCCTCCTCCTCCTCCTCCCTTTGCGAAGGGCCCTTGAACGGCCCCCCGCTCAGAGAGTCGTGATCCGGGACGTACAGGTGCCATTGCGGAAGACGCCGCCGGACTCCAGGTTCTCTGGCTGAAAATCCTCCACGCTATAGGCGCGGCTCTTGAGGGCGGTGGCATAGTAGTCGACCGGCTCCTCCGCGGCGTTGTCCATCCAGCTGAGGCACAGGATGCGCTGGAAAGAACGCTTGAAGTTGTCCGAAAGAAAGCCATAGAGAATGGGGTTGGCGCAGCTGTTGGCATAGCCGAGGATGACCGACAGCTGGCTCACCGTGGCGTCGTCCTGCTCCGCGAATACATTTACCAGCTGCACTACGTAGAAAGGCATCCAACAGATGACAAACACCATCACCACCATCATCACCATCAGGGTGATCTTCCGCTCAGAGCGCTTGCGCTGCTGCCAGCCAGCCTTGAGGGCTACCATGCGCATTTTTGCGATGATGAGTACGTAGCACAGGCAGATGGCCCCGACGGGCAGCAGGAAGCCCATAAGAAATGTGTACAACACGAAGCCCACCAGCCAGCGCTGGGCTGGCTCAGGCATAAGCATGTTGCAGGCCACTGTGCCGTCGCTGTTGGCCGCCGTGCGCGAGAAGACTACGATGGGCAGAATAACCAGCAGCGATAGCACCCACACCCCCAAATTCACCACCTTGGCCACGGTGGGCCGGCGATAGCGTGCTGCCTTGATGGGGTGCACCACGGCCACGTAGCGGTCCACGCTGAGCACAGTCAAACAGTAGATGCTGGTGAACATGTTAACTGCGTCCACACTGAGCACGAGGCGGCAGAGCAGCGCGCCGAAGGGCCAGTGCCGAAGCAACGTGGAGGTGACTAAGAAGGGCACGCTAAGCATGAGCAGCTCATCGGCAATGGCCAGGTTGAGGATGTAGATGTTGGTGGCCGTTTTCATCTTGGCGTAGCGCAGGATCACATAGATGACCATGGAGTTCCCGCACAGCCCCACCAGGCACACCACGGAGTAGATGAAAGAGATGAGGATGGCGCTGCCCTGGCCCTCGCTCAAGGTCCCGTTCTGGGATGCATTTCGCCCCGGCTCCTCCATGCCGTCCGCAGCGCCGGCCCCGGGGCCCCTGCCGCCGCCGCCTTCGCCACAGCTGCCCGGGCTGGGGCTAGGAGAGGAGGGAGAGGAGGCGGTGCCATTGGGGAACATCTCAGCTGATGGGGGGCGATGGGGCTGCTAGAGCTTGGGCACTCTTCTCGCGCCCCCGCCGCTTGCGCCCTCACTCGGCACCCGGACCGACTGTCCGTAGCTCTCTGCCGCCGGGCGCCTGAGGGTAGCGCTCCGCGGTTGCGGAGAGCGCGGCTTTAACCCGCGCTAGCGGGGAGCATTGCCCAACCACTGCCTGCACGCAGCCGCTTGTCGCTCGCCGCTCCCGGGCTCCTGGGCTCCTGGCCACACGCGAGGGTAGAGAGGGGAGGCGGGGAGACTGGAGCCCCGCGCCGCACAGCCATTAACTGGCGCGACTCTGGGCTGGTGAATGATTAATAGGCACCGCCAGCGCGTCAGCAGCTACGAAAAGGAAGGGGGGAGAAAGAGGGAGGAAGGCAATATAGGAGGCTTATCACCCCCTCGACCATTTTTTTTTCCTGTCCAGTCTTGCGCTCGGATCAACCCCAAACAGTTGCGAGCAGTTGCTTTCGGGGCTCCCCTGCAGCACCCCTCTTCCATCCCTCAGGAGGACCTGGGGAGTTTCTCCGCCTTCCTGGAGGGTGGGTGCGAACGAAAGGTGTACGTTCTGTCCCATCCCACCTGGCTCCCATTCAAGGCAAAAACTGAAGCGAACCCCAGGCACAGATGTCTGGAGTTCATTTCAGTTACCCTCAGCTGCTGCCCCACCATGAGGAACCCCTAATTCCACTCCGGTCCAGTCGTCTGGTGCCCAAACTCCCACCTCCCCCACCCCCCTTGCCCTGCTTCTCAGACCCGCAGCAGAAGCTCCCAGGTCTGCTTACCTTGGGCGCACTACCTCCTGACCCACGCTGAGATGGCCGGTGCAAAGTGCCAGTGCAGCCTGCTAGCGCAGTGACGTTCTTCCCGCTGTCCAACTCTTTGCTTTGGGCGGGACCCCAACACAGGCGCCCACGCCGATACTCTTGGAGTCACCGAAACTGACCGTTAACCCTGGGGCCTTGGGAGGAGGTTACTACAATCCGTGTGATAGGGGTTTCTGCGTTACATTACAGTAGTCAGCTCTTCGCGGGCGGGAACGTTCAGGGGCCTGGGTAAGCCACGGCGAGTCTTTTATTAAAGTGCGCAGTAGCCAGAGCCCCCTTGCCTTCCCGAAGAATATCGACTGCAGAAACGAGGACGCGCGGCTGGGAGGGCAGAAGGAGCCTGAGGCTCCCTCCAGAACGTGCCAGGCTAAGCATTGGAAATCCATCTAGGTGTTCACTGGGGAAAGATACGGCTGCGCCGCTTGGAAAGGCTCCGCCTGCGTCCCTGCTGTACTTTGTACCCGGGGGAGAAGTGTAAAGGCCGGGCGAGCAGGAATGACGGCTCCTCTAAGCCCACGTTGAGCTGGTCGTGAAGGTGACCAGACCCGGTTTCAACTCCAGGAATGGCCGGACGGCCTTGGAGTCTTTCCAATTAAATGCTAGGATTTCAGCCTTTTCTGAGACCTCTGGACGTGAAACCCCGGCTCCAGTTTACGTGCCCAAACCTTTCAGACACAAAAATCAAGCAAGCTCAAAGCTTGCCCACTTCATTTAGGAATTAAATGGATTCTGTATATTAAAAAAAATTCAATTACCATGCTTTTTAACGACTTCTGTGACTGCCCACTATCCTTAGCCTAGGCTCCCCTTAGCTTTCCAATCGTTTCTTTCCAAGGAAGAATCCCTCCATCCAGCCCCTCTATTTCTTTTCAAGATCCCTTCAAGTCTGTATCGTATGAAGCATGCAAGTTCCCAGGAAGGCTGACCTGCAGGAGCCTAGTGCTGAGCTTCCAGCTTCTTGTTCCTCCTTCCTCTCAACCAGAGGACACCCACCATACTCAGAGCATCAGCTTTCCCTCCCATCAGGACGGTTTTCGCTGAGAACAGGCGTACTTAAACAGGAGCTAAACTCATATTGGCGCCACAGTCCAGAATGCAGAAACGGATGCAGAAATCGAAAAAAAGTAAAGTACAATTCTAGTTGACCCTTTGCTTTACCAAGGTAATCCTTTATATGTGTTCTAGTTCTCAAAAGTAAGTGCTCTGGCAGAGGAAAAAAATAGCTTTTGTAGTGTGTTGGTTATAGCAATCAGAGATAAAATAAATGATGACAGGTTCTCATAGGAATATGTGCTATGAACACTGAATTATTAATGAGAAATGTGCTAGGAAGGAATTTGAAATTTCATAAGGCCCAATCTGTTTAACTCATTGTTTTATCTAAACAAATTACTTTATCTAAAATGGAATGTGGAATTGTTGGTTAGTTATACTTAAAAAATACAGCACATATGGAGATAAAAATGAACATTTACTGGGTTTTTTAAAATGGCTCTGTCCCACTCTGAAAAGCTTTTTTACAGTACGAGCCAAGCCTCATAATAGTTTAGATGCCTCTTTGGCAATCACTGATTACAGATACCTGGCTATTTCTCAGGGGGCTAATATTTCAACAGTCATCGTTTAGGCACATGGGTGTTAATCATGATTGCTCGAGGGGGAGTGGGTGATGGGAACCAGTAAAACACAGCTCTGTTGCTCAAAATCTCATATGTTCACTTTGCAGCTCATCTTAGGGAAAGCTCTCAGTTTAATGGTAGCATCATATATAAAAGGAGAAAAATTAAGACTTGATATCAACATGTTTTTTTTGGTTTCTGAAGTGGTTTTATGATGAATTGCTTATCCATAAAAAGAGATTGACAACAAGATACCACTTTGCACCACTAGGGTGGCTATATTTAAAAAAAAAAAAAGAAAGAAAGAAAATAACAAATGTTGCCAAGCATGTGGAGAAATGGAACCCTTATATGTTGGTGATGGGAATGAAAAATGATGCAGCAACTTTAGAAAGTTTGATGATTTCTCAAAAAGTTAAAAGCAGAATTGACATATGACCCAGCAATTCCACTTATAGGTATTTATACCCGCCTCCCCTCCCCCCCCAAAAATATTGAAAACATTTGAATAAAAGCTTTTGCTTGACAGTTCATAGCAGCACTATTTATACTAGCCAAAAACTCAGACAGCCCAAATATCCATCAACTGACAAATGGACAAACAAAATGTGGTATATCCTTACACTAGATTATTCATCCAGGAAAAGGAATGATGTATCAGTACATGCTACAACATAGATGAACCTTGAAAACATTTCCACAGTGTAAGATGCCAGGTCAAGTATATTGCATGATTCCATTTATAGCAAATGTCCAAAATAGGCAAATCGCTCAAGACAAAGCAGATTAGAGGCTGGCAGGGATGGAGGGGAAGAGGAAATGGGAAATGACTGCTTAATGAAGATGGGGTTTCTTTCGGGGTTGATGAAAATGTTCCCAATGAGACAATGGTGGTGATTACACAACATGGAGCATGTACTAAAAAAGACTGAGTTGTACACTTTAAGAATGGTTAAAATTATGAATTCTGTGTCATGTGAATTTTACTTCAATAAAAACAGAGATTGAAATATGAGCCGTGCAGTGTTATCAAGTCTTTTCAGTCGTGTATTTCTTAATATTGTATCTGTCAACTAATTCATGAACAAAAAAACAATCAAGCAAAAGTCAACATTTCTGGGCTAAACAACATGTGATTTGCAGCTGTTTATAAATTACTTTCAGGGCAAGAGCCCAGTTAGGACCCTGCCTTCCTCTTAGACCCCAGTTTGATGTAAACATTTCCTAAGGAAGCAGGAACACTAGAGTAGCAATGGGATTGTTGTAATGTGGGAGAAACACAGGCTATGAGAAGTCAGGACTCCACATCTTCATATCTTGTTTAAAAACTTTTTTTAAAAAAATGTACATATCTAAAGTATGTAAGCCTTGAAAAGCTTAGCATAAGCTTGTTTTTTTCATGGCAGTTACTAGTGCTGCAGTCCTCCCTTCTTTGGTTACTGTCTTCCCTATGCCTCTGGGAAAGGCACATTTCTAGATATAAGATGAAAGAAGATGGCTTCCAAGAGGAGAGAATGAAAAGTCCTACATTAGGAAGTTGCAGATTCTTGAGCAGACTGATTTTCTTCCCCCGTCTTTATTCTCTTCTACAAGCTACACTCCCCTGTGCTATTATGTACCAGGTGTGCATTTTGATTACTGTATTTATCACACTGTGCTGCGATTTTTTTTTGTGATTATCTGTGTCCCCTTCTAAATCTGTAAATTTGTTGATAACAGAGGCGATATATATTGTTATATCATTATATCCCCAGCACCCAGCACAGCACCTGGAAAATTGCCCAATAACTCTTTGTTTTATGTTTCCAAGGCATTCCATGAATAGTACCTTCTTTTTTTCTAACCCATAGCAGTAGATGCAGAGAAATCAATGGGGGCCTCTTGAAAGAAAAGCTTTTAATATCTGTGTAATATCATCATCTGTAATAATACTTTAAGCATTTAAATCATTCTGAATAATTTCAATTTGCATGTCCTATATCAACAATTTGCATGCTGATGACTCATTCATTGATCGTTCTTGGTCTTAAATTTCTTGGCTGAGAAAAGGCACTGGAAAATGGGTAGTACATACTTTAGTAGCTAATGACTGTTATTTAATAGTATCATGCAGTGTGAAAGCCATTATATATGGGAGATTGTTTCTTTTTAATTGCAGTTCTGAGTCTCCGTTGGTTTGGTGGAATAGTAATCAGCTCAAACTCAGCATCTGTCAAAATCATTATTAATGTGGTTTTTCCAGTTGGAGCTTCTGGGGATCCTCAAATGAGCCTCTCTAATCCATGCCACTGGTAAAAGGCTGGCTGACACCAGGGATTAAAGGGAGCACTTCTGGGAACATAGTCTACACAGCATCATCAAAGCTGTGTTCACAAACACCTGTCTGGGCAGATGGGCTGTAAGGAGCGAGCACTGCTCAGCAATATATATGGCCCACAGGAGAGGTATGTGTCCCTTAAGGACCATCTGCCACTAAGCAGTTAACATGATGACAGTCTAATAAGAAAGTTACCAGAGTGCAAAAGTGGCTATAGAG